CCATTCAGACAAATCAGCCATCAGTAGACACATAGAGATAAACCACATTTACACACCATTCAGAAGAGACAATAAAAGCTAAGAAGGAAGCATAAAGACCAGAACACATCCTCTCCAGCAATCAACATCCAAATAAGCAGGGATTAACACCAGACCAACAACATATCCTCTCCAGCCACCAACATCCAGATAAGCAGGGATTAATACCAGACAAACAATCAAGCAGAGAACAATACACTAATCAAGGAACTATCAAGGAGAAAACTACACCTCCACCAACACTGCCAGGGCAAGCTACTGTATATAAACAGGGAACAAACTTCACACTCACTAGCATTGATTATATTACCTATTCAGGTAATGAAAGGAAACAACCAAGCTCAGAGAGCACCAAAGACTCCATAGGTCCTCATTTCCTGTTGCAGTTACAGCCCAGATCTGAATGTCCTTTGGCTGCTTTAAAACAAAGAAAAAACCCCTCCCTGTATCTTAACTTGCTTGACCTTTGCTGGAACCAGGAACAAAAAGAGAAGAAAATACAGTTTTTCCTTTTAACTGTATGTGGTAGTATTACATCATGTTTCTATATTTTACTTTGCATATAATCAAAAGGCAAATTATTAATTAACTGATAGACTGCCTGTAGCAAAGAAGCAGATAATGTATCTGAAGTATCCTTAAGTTTCAATTATTAGTTTTTTTGATAGATTTGCTGATGAATCTGTTTCTTGAGAAGTTCTAAGCCAGTTTTCCCTAATCTTTGGACAGATTGCCTTGGAATTCTGGGACTAGCAATTTCCCAACACATCTGGAGAGTATCAGATTAGGGAAGGTGGTTTAAAGCTTAGTATAAATTCCAAAGGAGAACAAAACACAGACTGTGCATGCTTCAAAATGATTCAAACTAAACTACTTTAGCCCTCATGTAAACACAACACCTCCCTGCTATTCATTAAAACAACCCAACTTTTTCCATGCTGCCACATCCTGCTTTAAGAGTTGCTTTAACTTTATTGAGTGGATTCCTTAAAGCAGTAGCATCTTTTCTTTTTCAGGGTCATGAGCAGCTTGGATAAAAATGGTGTTGCTTTAATGAATAGCCCGTGTGCAACGTGCAGAGCACTTCCACATCATTTTTGAAGTGTGCATGGCTCTAAATTCCTACCACACTCTGAAAAGGTCCATTGGGTCACCCCATTGTTCTTGTCAGCTGGACTTGCCTTCCTGTGTTTTCCATGGGTTATAGTTTGGTCCTGTAGGCAATGACCAGCCTATTCTCTGTCTTTCTGCTGCTGTTTTCTTTCACTATGTAAATGAATCTCCATCAGAGTACAGCTACTAATCTGTCACTAATTACACTGCCAGGCAGTTTTCTGGAATGGTGTGGCAGCTGCTTTGCTGCTGGCAAAAATAGTAATTAAAAAAAAAAAGTATACTACAGAGTGAGCCCCTGTCGGTGTCTCACATTCAGCAGGCAGGTCGTAAGTGTAGAGACTGAATTACCGAGTGAAATGCTCCAGTGAGCCATTCTTTGGTGCGAATTGAACTGTTGCTTTTTTTTTTTTTTTTAATCCTTGTTCAAACACTAGACTACACCTGTCTGTATATTTGTTTGGAGTGGTCAAAGGGCAAAGGATAATAGGCAGCCAGTGGATCATTTTCCTTGCTGGACAAATTGTTTTATGCTGTACATTCCAGGAGTGGGTTGGGGGTTGGAATAAAAGGAGAAAGAGTTTTGTGACACCTGAAATACTAACAGATTTTTTTTTAGCACATAAGCTTTTCTGACAACAGTTTATGCAGAAATACAAATGTTATTCTTTAAGGTGCCGCAAAATTATTGTCGTGCTTTTATTTCTGTGCTGCAAGAGATTAATGTAGCACTCCTTCTGGAATGCAAATGGCAGCCTGTCTTGCATTGTGGAGATCGTGATGATGATGTTGTTGATGATGATGATGATGATAATGTACTACCATGCAGGGTTATTGTAAAAATTCCTGAGGGGATGCCTGTGAAGTTCATTATGTCAATCACCAATGTTATTATAAAGAACTATTATTACTGTTAAAAACGTCTTCCTTAAGGGTGATTTCTTCAATAAATGCTCTATGTTGGAATCAGGGCTGTCTGTCTGGTTGGCTTGAGAATTAAGTGGAGGAGAAAATTTGCAGACTCTCTCCCACTGATGGAATGTGCTGCAAAAGCCTGGGAACCTAGGACTGAGCTCTCCATGCTTTTCACAGTGACTTTAAATTTTTGTATTTAAAACATCCATGTCTGTAACATGACTTGAAGCAATAGATCATTGAGTTTGTATGTGCTCATGAATTTAAAGTGGCCTTCTCTCTTTTTAAAAAGATTTTTCATCGTGGAACATGTCACTTATGAATGTTAGTTACAGTCTAAATGATGTTCTTATAGTAGCTTCCTGAAAACACCCTGCTGTGTATTTCTTGTCTTCATTTTTTTATTAGTATAGAAATAATGTACCATATATACTTGCGAAAAAGTCTATCCGTGAATAAGCAGAACTGTAAATTTTTAACCAAAATGCCATGAAAAATGTGCCACTTTCTTTGTTGTAAACATTTCAACCAGAAGGGTGGTGACAAATTTGATAAATAAATAAAATAAATAAATAAGCTAACCTGCATTTTTCATGGTATTTTGGTTAAAAATTTGAGGGTCTGATTATCTGCAGAGAACCTTATATACATCTATCTATCTATCTATCTATCTATCTATCTATCTATCTATCTATCTATCTAT